GGCTTACCTTCCTCCTAGTCTTTAAATTAGGAGCTCTGGTAGCATAGTGCCTAAGGTACTTGACTGCTCACCAGAAGGCTGGTGGTTCAAACCCACCAACCACTCCTCGGAAGGAAGGTTGGGCAATCCTACTTCTGCAGTGATACTGCCTTGGAAACCCAAGGAGGGGTCACTATGAGTTGGGGCCGACTCGATGGCAAACAACAACAACAGTCTTTAAATTTAAAACTTTGTATAGATTTTGTTCTTTCTCAGTTTAATTTTTCTAAGACCATTTCATCCCATTCCAGGCCTCAGTTACTGATGATTCCCACTCTGTTCCTCAAACTCCTTTTATCTCCACTTAGGTGTCTCAACATTCCCCCTCCCCCTGCCAAATTTAGCTTGTTTAAGTCCAAATTCATAAACTCTCCTCTTATGCCTAGTAGTGATTCAGATGCAGAAGCTAGAAGGCACATCCCTCTTTCTCACCCCTCATTCAAATTCCAAATCCTATCAATTTGCACTTCTAAATACACTTTAGGAGCTCTGGTAGCAAAGTGGCTAAAAGCACTTGACTGCTAACCAGAAGGCTGGCGGTTCAAACCCACCAGCCACTCCTCGGAAGGAAGGTTGGGCAATCCTACTTCCGTAGTGATACTGCCTCGGAAACCCAAGGAGGGGTCGCTATGAGTTGGGGCCGACTCAACGGCACATAACAACAACAACAACAAATATACTTTGATTCTTTCTGCTCTCCATCTTCATCACAATCTCCCATCAGGGTAGTGTAATTGCTTCTTCTCCCCATATCCACTTTTGCACCCTTCCAATCTGTTTCTAGGAGCTCTGGTGTTGTAGTGCCTCTGGCATTTGACTGCTAACTAGAAGGCTGGTGGTTCAAACCCACTAGCCATTCCTTGGAAAGAAGACTGGGCAATCTATTTCTGTAGAGATACCACCCTGAAAACCCAAGGAGGAGTCGCTGTGAGTTGGAACCAACTTAACGGCAGTGAGTTTGGTTTTTGTATTCTGTTCCTAGGAGCTCTAGTGCTGTGGCTAAAGTATTAGCTGCTAACCAAAAGGTCAACATTTTGAATCTGCCAGCTGCTCCAAGGGAGAAAGATGAGACAGTCTGCTTCTGTAAATATTTACAGCCTTGGAAACCTTATAGGGCAGTTCTCCATCTTATAGGGTCACTAAGAATTGGAATAAACTCAATGGCAGTGTGTTTAGTTGATTTAATCTGTTTCCACTCATCAGCCAGAAAGCAAACCTTAAAACCTTGCATTGTTGTTGTTATGTGCCGTCGAGTCAGACCCGACTCACAGCGACCCCTTCTTGGGTTTCCGAGGCAGTATCACTACGGAAGTAGATTGCCCCATCTACCCTCCGAGGAGTGGCTTAGGATATGAACTAATTAAACATGACCTACTAGGCCCTGCATGATCCAGCTCCTGCCTATCTCCAGAGTGACTGTCAAATAGTGGACTGTCAATACTATTTGCTGACTTGAATCCCACTTAACTCTCTCCTTTCCTCTCTCTGTTCCAACCACATTGGCCTTGCATTTCTTCTAGCCTAGCATGCACTATTCCATTTCAGTGTCTGCCCCTATTACTCCCTCCTTTCCCTCTTACTTTACCTACTTAACTCCTACTCATTCTTCAGATCTTGGTTAAAATACTATTTCCTCAAAGTTCTCTTCTTAGACTCCAACTTTCATAATTCCTCATGCTTTTGGTATGCCTCACTTCTAATAGTTTGTAATTGTATACACCATGAGGCCAGAGTCCCTGTCTGTGTTGTTCACCATTGTATCTTTATCATAATGACTGGCACATAAAATGTGCTTGATAAATATTTGTTGAATGAATATCTTTCACTCTTTCTGAGTTCAATCAACTATTAACATAATCAGAGAAAGGCTTTATATCATAAGAGACAGAAGTGAGCCTGCAAACTTAACTTTTCACCTTTTGCCAATGATTTAGATGTGTTTTTCATCCAAAATCTCACTGAGTAATACCTTCTACCCTTACTATTCACAGATCAGTCAGCACCTAAAGACCCCATCTGGGTCAAATCATTGTCTTTTAGTCCAGTTTGCTTTCAATTTGTAAGACCTAAAAAAAAAAAAAAGAAAAGAAAACCATTGCCATCAATTCAATTCTGACTTATAGCAACCCTATAGGACGGAACTGCTAAATAGGGTTTCCAAGGCTATAAATCTTTACAGAAGCAGACTGCCATATATTTCTTCTGTGGCATGAATGGTGGATTCAAACCGCTAACCTTTTGGTTAGCAGCTGAGTGCTTATCCACTGTGTTACCAGGGCCTTTTACTTCTCTGTCTCCATTGCCACCACCTTAATCATACTTTCATCAGCTTTTATTGAAATTACAGCAACAGTCTTCTATCTGAGTTTCTTGTTTTGAGTCTGATCCCCCCCTTAACTAGTTAGGATTTAGCTCAGTTGCATGTAACAGAGACACAAAGAACAGTGACTTACTAACTTATTTCTCATTCAACTAAAAGTCTAGTTTGGAACTGACATGATAGAGCCCTGGTGGTGCAGTAGTTAAAGTGCTCAGCTGTTAACCAAAACGTTGGTGGCTTGAACCCATCAGCTCCGCAGGAGAAAGATGTGACAGTCTGCTTCTGTAAAGAGTTACAGCCTTGAATCACATGGGGCTGTTCTGTTCTGTCCTATAGGGTCACTATGAATTAGAATTGATGGCAATGGATTTGATTTTTTTTTTTTTCCTGGTTTTATGGTGACTGTGCAGTCATCTGAGAACAAAAATACTTCCCAGCTTTCTGGTTGTGTTCAGGATATAACCTTCATCCTTGTCATCCAAGATGAGAGTGCTGTTCATTACACCCATATTCCAAGGAGCAGGATGAGGAAGGGAGCAGTGAAGGGGCATCCCCTCCTCCCTCAATGGACAAATCCTGGAAGTTGCACATCAGAAATTTGTCATATGGCCATAACTTGTTACATGGGAATTTGGGGAAGGTAATCTTTATTATTGCCAGCCATTTGCCCAGCTAAAAATTGGAGTTTCTATTATGAAGGAAGAAGAGGACAATAGCTATTGGGAAGTACCCACTAATCCATTTTTCCTATTAGCCAAGAATGATTCTTGTAGAATGTAAATGTATCCATAGTACTCATCTCGTAAATGCTTTTCCTGGCAGACTCCTTAGCGTGACTAACAAGGCTTTCTCTGATTAGGTCCCAGCTGACTTCTCTGGCCTCATCTTCAACTCCCTTTCTTCAGTTTTTATTCTCATCCTTGGTTATAGAAGGACCAATTCATTTGTAGTACTTGGATATGTCATGCTGATTCTGTACTTTGTTTTCTCTTTTCAGGTTATGTCTCCTATTCATCCATATATTCACATATTTCACAAATATCTGAGTGACTGCTTTTATCAACACTGTGTTAAACCCTGCAGAGACAGAGGTAAATGAGACAGATGCTGTCCTTGTTCTCTTAGAACATAAGGTACATATAGATATCTGAAGGCCTATACAAAATGAATAGTCACAACTGTGATGAGTGTTGTGAAGAAGCAATGTATGTTGTAATGAGAATACATAATAATGCAAACTTACCTTGTCTGTGGAATGAAGGAGAGCTTCCCTGAGGAAGTGATTTTTAAGCTGAGATCAGAAGGATGAATTAGAATGGACCAGGCAAAAAGATAGGAGGGCTATCTTTCTTCATGACTGCTCACATGCCAGCTTTTATTAGGGCATGAGATGGGGAAAGAGTCCTAAAGATAATTTGGAGATGCCTGTCAGTAGCTTAGGAGATCTCGTTGCTCAGCAGTTAAAGTACTCAGCTGCTAACTGAAAGGTTTGCAGTTTGAACCCACCAGCCACTCCGTGGGAAAAAGATGAACACAATAGCTACTGTGTATACATGACACTTTTAGGCATTTTACCTGTGTTATTTTATTTGGCTGAACTGCATTGCTACCCCATGAAAGGAGCCCTGCTGACACAGTAGTTAAGCCCTCAACTGCTAAGTGAAAAGTTGGCAGTTCAAACCCACAAGCTGCTCCATAGAAGAAAGATGTGCCAGTCTGCTTACATAAAGATTTACAGCCTTGGAAAGAAACCCTATGGAGCAGTTCTACTCTGTCCTATAGGGTCGCTATAAGCCAGAATCCACTGGCTCACCCACTGGTGAGCGGTAGTTTAGACAATGAATGGATAAACGAGCCCTAGGATTACACCTGCCCACGACCACCTCAGGATAGCTATTCCTCTAATACAACTGTGTCACTCATTTTCAGGCACAGCCAAGTCCCCTTCCAGTCTCCCTGTCCCACAAATGCAAGCAGCCAGCAATGTAGCACGGCCCCGCCCATTCCAGCTCTGGCTCTGCCCCAGGTCCCGCCTACATCTAGCCCTGGCCGCTCTCCTTTCTGGCTCCAGTGGGGTCACCCGGAGAAGACTCGAGCCTCTAGGATTCTAGCAACCGTTGTAACTGCTGGGAGAGGTTGGGCTGCGGTTGGGTCCAAGGACGCGCTTTCGTTCTCACCACAGCCTCCCAAGGGGCCCCGCCCCTTTTTTGTCTCTGGTACGCAGTCCTCTCACCTACCCCTCCTCCTCCCTCAATTCCCTGCCCACCCTCCCTCGACTCCCCCAAACCACTAGTCGGCCTGTTCTTCCTCCTCCTCGGCCTTCATCCAGACTGAGTAGTTCACCGTGGAGGTTCGTTTACTTTCCGTCCTCGCGACTCAGCCTGTGCATGGTCTGTTGGAATGGGGCTTTGCTGCCTTTGACTGACGACCTGTTCTTCCCCTTCAAGGGATAGCCAGGCTGCACTCTGAGCGTAGGTCTCTTGCTGTAACCGGGGTTTCCTGACTGGACACTGTCGGCGTGTCAGTTTGTCTCTGCATATGTGTGTGCCCCAGTCTCTCTGTCTGGGTGGCTGGGCTTGGGGTGAGCTTGTGCCTGGGGCCCACATCTATGTTCATCCACTTCTCCAGCAGGCATTTCCCCATGATACCACATCAGCAGATCTGGCCCTCTGCCCTCCCCTTGCCTCCGGTACCGGTTCAGCCAGGTGAGGGAGACCGGATACTGGGATGTAGGAAGGAACTCCTGTGCATGCAGGGAGGGACCCTACTTCCTGAGCAAGCTTCTTAACAGAGCCCTGGGGGGAAGCTAGTGAGGGCTTAAGGGTCTCCTGAAAGGCCTTCTTCTGGCCTGGCTGTACCCTGTAGCTCTACTCATTTTCATGCCCTAGGTCCTTCCCAGCTCTTTCTTTCCCTACCCCCCAGCCTATCCCACTGACCTTAACCATCTCTTACCCAGAGCCTAAGTGCCTTTCTCCTCCTATCCCTTCTGGGCTGGGCCAAGCAGGTGAGGCCCAGCAGTCCAGAACCTGGGACTGGCAGTCAAAGCCCGAGGAGTGGGCGAGGTCAGTGTTGGATGCTCATCTCCTGTTGGTCTCCAAAGAGAAGAAGAAGGTGGGCACATCTGATCAAGCAACATCTGATGCCCATGACTCTAGGAACTCCCTATTGGTCCTGGAGAAAGAAGAGCAGCCGAGGGCCTCTGAGAAGGCAGTGATTGATTCAGAGCAGCCCACGGTGCGGAAGGTCCTGCTAGCTGAGCTCCGAACTCTGTTCTCAGCAGTGCTGCAGGATGGCAGCCCTGCAGCGTGGCACTATCTGCACTCAGTGCTGGGTTTGCTGCCTCCATATCGCTCACTGCTCTGTGACCAGCTTGATTTACTCCCTTTTCTGGAGCAGCTGTACCGCTGGGCACCCTGGGTCCAGTCCCAGCTTCAGCTGGACCTACTAGATGCCATAGATCAGGCCTTTCCCCCAGACACATCTTTGTTAGCGAGTGCCTCCCATACTGACTGCCATGCACAGAAGCAGAGGTTCCATCATGGGCCCCCATACCCCACCTGCCCTTTTGTGCAGGCCCGGTGGAATAGGCAACAGGTAGAGAAGGAGTTGGCTACATGGCTGCGACCACTGACACTGCCTGAGCTACAGCACAGCTTGGGCATTGTTGGTGCTGAGGTGGCCCTAGAAGAGACGCCATGGCTAGATGGCCTTAGCCTCCTCCCCTTGGCACTGGCGACCAACATCCCTGTACAGTATGAAAGCAGTGGCGCTGACAACACAGAAGAGGAACCCACCAGAAGACATACTAGGTAAATGAGGGGCCCAGTCTGGGGCTTTGAGCAGAGGGATAAAAAAAACCAGTTTAGGATGCCCCTAGAGTCTTTTAGATATCTGGGGCTAGCCCCCTGTTGATCTTAGGGATTAGTCTGACCCTAAACCAAACTGGTCTGAAGTTGCTCCTCTTTTCTTCTTTGTCTGCAAAACAACCCCAGTGGTCTTAATGCTAATCCCCACAGGGAAATGGAGAAATTGTGAAAATCAGCCAGCCATGAGCAAGTCAAAGCTTCAGAAAACAGCTTCACTGCCTGAGTTACTACTTTCTCAGATGGTGCTGCAAGCCTTCTTCTTTCTTTCTTTTTTTTTTTTTTTTTCACTCATCATAATCTCTGGGCCTTGCTTCTGGGCCTACCTATGTTGGGTGCTGTATACAGGGTCCTTCTCAGAGTTACTTCTGAATAAGTGTTTGTTTGAGGGTCCTTCCCAAACATGCCTACATAAGCTAAGCCAACAGCAAGGCAGATTCGAGTTGGCAGCACTCCTAGATGGACCTTTCATCATGACCCTTCCAGAGCCTTCTTCCAGGCCTGATGTGCATACCAGCTGAGCCCCTGGCCACTTCAGTGACAAAGTATTTCTCTCTCTGGCTCTGTGCAGGATTTCAGAATGCCTACAGAGCCCTTCTCTTCTGAGAGTTCTCTAGCTCTAGTCTTGGAATTCCTCCCCCACCTTCAGGTCTGATTTTCTATATGCTTTGCTGCTCACATTCATTATCTAGGGAAAAGGGCTAGTTTTACCTTTAATCAAACTTGGCTTCCTCAGTTTTTGCTACAAGTTTATGCCTGGGTCAAGTTTTTCTTTAAGCCTTAGAGCCCTGTTGTTGTGGTAGTTCGGTGCTTTCGAGTTCCAACTCCTAACGCGCCACGTACAGCAGAATGACACACTGCCAGCTCCTGCACCATCCTCACAATCATTACTATGTTTTGAGCCCATTATCGTAGCCACTGTGTCAATCCATCTCATTGAGGGTCTTCCTCTTTTGCACTGACCCTCTACTTTACCAAGCACGATGTCCTTCTCCAGGGACTGGACCTTCCTGATAACATGTCCAAAGTATGTGAGATGAAGTCTCGTCGTCCTTGCTTCTAAGGAGCATTCTGGATATGCTTCTTCCAAGACAGATTTGTTTGTTCTTGTGGCAGTCCATGATATATTTAATATTGTCTGCTAATACCATAATTCAAAGGCATCAATTATTCTTAGGAGCTCTGGTAGCATAGTGCCTAAGGTATTTGACTGCTAACAAGAAGGCTGGTGGTTTAAACCCACCAGCCACTCCTCGGAAGGCAGGTTGGGCAATCTACTTGCGTAGTGATATTGCCTTGGAAACCCAAGAAGGGGTCGCTGTGAGTCGAATCCAACTCGACAGCAGTGAGTTTTTTTTGTTGTTGTTTTGAATTATTCTTGGTCTTCCTGTTCAGCTTTCACATGCGTATGAAGAGTTTGGAAAGATCATGGCTTGTGTCAGGCACAACTCAGTCCTCAAAGTGACATCTTTGCTTTTTAACACTTTCAAGAGGTCTTCTGCAGCAGATTTTCCCTGTGCAACACATCATTTGATTTCTTGATTGCTGTTACTATGGGCATTGATTGTGGATCCAAGTAAAATGAAATCCTTGACAACTTTAATCTTTTCTCCATTTATCGTGACATTACTTACTGGTCCAGTTAGGAGGACTTTTGTCTTCTGTATGTTAAGTTGTTGTTCTGGTTATCTAGTGCCACTCTGATAAGAATATATCACAAATGGGATGGCCTTAACAAACGGGAGTTTATTCTCTCAGTTTGGAGGCTTTAAGTCCAAGTTCAAAGTGCCAGGCTCTAGGGGCTATGTGAAAGCCCCTCGACCTTGGGTTTCAGCTCTGCCTCTTGCTCCCAGCCCACTGAAGCTAGAGGCATCTCTTCACTCAGGCAGCTACTGGCTGCTGAGGCTAACAAGCCCAAGGTCGACAAATAAAATGGGATAGTTCCGATGTTACCAAACCACATGGCAGGGCATTAATTCAAGTCCATTGTAAGTCCCAAGGTCGGCAGAGCATGGCAGGCTGCTGAGCAATGACACAACTATGTGCAGAGTTAAAGCGTGCCATAAGCTAGCGACCATTCCCCAAGGCTTCTCCTTATATACAGGAAGCAGACCACATCCCTAAGGCAGCTACTCAGCTGCTTACAGTAGACTCCACCATGGGGTTGATTACCATTCTCATCATGGGGAATACTACATCTAGCTGCCCAACCACTCAACCAAGCCCAGCCAAGTTGACACACAAACTGAACCCTTACAGCTGTAATTCATACTGAAGGCTGTAGTTTTTTATCTCTTCATCAACAAATGCATCAAGTACTCTTTGCTTTTAGCAAGCAAAGTTGTGTCATCCACATATCTCAAGTTGTGAATGTGTCTCCCTTCAATCTTGTGCCATGTTCTTCTTCATGTAGCCCACCTTCTTGGATTATTTGCTCAGCATACAGATTGAATAAGTATGGTGAAAGGATATAACCCTGATGCATACCTTTCCTGATTTTAAACTGTGGATTATCCCCTTGTTCTGTTCAAATGAGTGTCCCTTGGTCTACTCTTGGCCTATGTACAGGTTCCCCATGAGCACAATTAAGTGTTCTGGAATTCCTATTCTTTGAAGTATTATCCTTAGTTCATTATGATCCACACAGTCTAATTTGCATAGTCAATAAAACACAGGTGAACATCTTTCTGGTGTTCTCTGCTTTCAGCCAAGATTGATTTGACGTCAGCAATGATATCCTTCATTCCACATCCTCCCCTGAATCTGGCTGGAATTTCTAGCAGTTCCCTGTCAATATATTGGTGCACCTGTTTTTTAATTATTTTCACCAAAATTTTACTTGTGTGTGCTATTAACGATATTGTTCAATAATTTCCATACTGTTCAATAATTTCTGAATTCTGTTGGACCACCTTTTTTTGGAATGGGCACAAATATGGATCTCTTCTAGTTGGTTGGCTAGGTCCCTCAAATTTCTTGGCATAGACAAGTGAACACTTTCAGTTTTGCATCTGTTTGTTAAAGCATCTCAATTGGTGTTCTGTCAATTCCTGGAGCTTTTGTTTTTATCAGTGCCTTCAATGCATCTTGGACTTCTTCCTGCAGTACAATTGGTTCTTGATCATATGCTACCTCCTGAAATAGGTGAAGAAGCTCTGGTGGTGTAGTACCTAAGGCATTTGACTGCTAACCAGAAGGCTGGCAGTGTAAACCCACCAGCCACTCCTTGGAAGGAAGATTGAGCAATCTACTTCCGTGGTGATACCTTGGAAATCCAAGGAGGGATCGCTATGAGTTGGATCTGGCTCAACAGCAGTGAGTTTGTTTTTTGGTTGGAAATAGGTGAACATCAACCAATTCTTTGCGGTACAGTGGCTCTGTGTATTCTTTCCATCTTCTTTTGATATTTCCTATGTCATTCAATATTTTGTCCATAGAATACTTCAAGATTGCAACTTGAGGCTTGAATTTTTCTTCAGTTCTTTTAGCTTAAGAAATGCTGAGTGTGTTTTCTCCTTTTGGTTTTTTAATTCCAAGTCTTTGCAAATTTCATTATAATACTTTACTTTGTGTTCTTGAGACTCCGTGTGAAATCTTCCGTTCAGCTCTTTTACGTCATCAATTGTTCCATTCGTTTTTGCTACTCTATATTCAAGAGCAAGTTTCAGAGTCTCTTGTGACACCCATTTTTGGCTTTTCTTTCTTTCCTGTCTTTTAAATGACCTTTTGCTTTCTTCTAAGGAGCTGGTGCCATAGTGGTTAAAGCATTCAGCTGTTAACTAAAAGGTTGGTGGTTCAAACCCACCAGCTGCTTCATGGGAGAATGATGAGGCAATCTGCTTCTGTAAAGATTTACAGCCTTGGGAACCCTATGGAGCAGTTCTTCTCTATCCTATAGGGTCACTGTGAGTTGGAATCAACTCGAAGGCAGTAGGTTTTTGATTTTGCTCATCTTTATATATTATGTCCTTGATGTCATCCCACAACTCAACTGGTCATTAGTGTTCAATACATCAAATCTATTCAAGTGGGATGTACTCAAGGTCATACTTTGGATGTCATGGACTTATTTCAGATTCCTTCAGCTTCAACATGAATTTGCATATGAACAATTGATGGTCTGTTCCGAAGTCAGCTTCTGGCCTTGTTCTGGCTGATGATACTGATCTTCTCCATTATCTCTTTCCACAGATGTAGTAAATTTAATTTCTATGTATTCCACACAGTGAGGTCTGCATGTGCGTCAGTGTTTATGTTGTTGAAAAGGTATATGCAGGGAATAAGTTGTTGTCTTGCGGAATTCTATCATGCAATCACCAGTGTAGTTTCTGTCACCATGGCCAGTGGCACAACAATTTATGCCTTCAATAACCCCAGCAGGCTCTTCCTCTCTGGAGGAGTTGCCCTAACCCCTGAGTACAAGTTTCCTTTCTTGAAGTAAAATGCTCATAGAAGTTGGAGAGGGGTCAAATTCTCTGCCCTTTCTCCAGACTTGGAAGTAGACCTCCGAGGACTAGTTAATGTGGTTTAATTTGTGTGACAATAAAAGGCTTATAGAAGTTCTCCAGAACTGGCCTCCCAGGCATTAATTCATTAAGTATAGCTCTCTGATGATGGAGTGCCTAAAGCATTTGACTGCTAACCAGAAGAAGGCTGGCAGTTCAAAACCACCAGCCACTCCTTGGAAGGAAGACTGGGCAATCTACTTCAGTAGAGATACCACCTCAGAAACCCAAGGAGGGGCTGCTATGAGTCGGAATCGACTGGACAGTGGTGAGTTTGGTTTGGTTTGGAACACATCACAGGGGGCACTGATGGCTCAAGTGGTTAAGTGCTTGACTGCTAATCAAAAGGTTGGTGGTTTGAACCCACCAGCTGTTCTATAGGAGAAATATGTGGCAGTCTGCTTCCGTAAAGATTTATAGTCTTGGCAACTTTATAAGGCAGTTCTACTCTGTCCCATAGGGTTGCTATGCATCAGAATTGACTCAACAACAATGAGTTTTTAATATGCATCAGGAACTGGTAGATGCTGGGGATATAGAAGTGAATAAGAGACTCAGTCCCTTCCCTCAGGGTCTTATAGTTTAGTTAGGGAGATAGATATTAAATAAGTTGATACAAGTAAAATATAGTTGTAAATTGTGATAAATGCTAAAAAGAAAGAACCCTGCTTCTCTGGGGTCTGGGTGTATGTGTGTGTGTGTGTGCAGTTAGGGGAAAGCACATTAAAGTTAACAAAATGTTAGGAGGTGAAATAAGAGGAGAGTTTCAAAAAGGAGGGAACAGTCAGTGTTAAATGCTACTGAGACAAGTAAGAAAAATCTGAAAAATGTTCATTGGATTTAGCAATGAGGAATAGGCTGATGGAGTTTTGTGAGAAGGAAGCCAGATTGTAGTGAATTCAGGTATTAATGGGAGGTGAAGAAGTAGAAATCCTGGTTTACTGTTCTTTCATGAAGCTTGGCTGTGAGAGAGAGAAGGAGATAATAGAGCAGTGGCTTGAAAGAACGAGAGTAGATCTTTTTTTTTTTTTTAACATGGAGAAATGTTTATGGCCCTTTAAACAGTGCTTGGGGATAGTAGGTGCTCAATAAATATTTGTAGACAGTGAATAAATAGGCCGATGGTAAGCAGAAGAAGAGATTAAAAATACATCATAAAGAGGGAATAAAGGATCCAGAGCACAGATGGAGGAGTTAGTCTTGTAGAGAAGAAACACACTCCTTCCCCTCAAACTGGGGAAAGACATTAGGATCAGAGCATGTGCAAGTAAGGGTGTCAAAAGGAGGCTGAAGTTGAGTGAATTGGTTCTTGGCCAAGAGCCTCATTCTTCTCTGGGCAGGGATGAGATGGAACTGGGGGCTTGGCAGAGTGGAATGGGAGAGGTAGAGGCTTGGAATAGCTGCCAAGGGGCCTGAAAGAGATAAAACTACCTGAGGGTTTGTACTAAGATGTCAGATCTGAGTAAGCCCACAGATGAGATTAGATACCAGGAGTCTATTCAGGAGCCAGTCTCCCTGGCTCTTGATCTTCTGAATCTACACAGATTGTACACAATCTGGACTTTACTCATGGAGGAAACAAAATTTTGATATCAGTCACATCATTAGAATGCCCTGATCCATCATGATCATAAAGCCTACTGTCAACATGAACTCAAGAATAGGATTGCTTTGTTATCCCTGGGGTAACTTGCTCTGTGGTCTAAGTTGGGGCCAATGAACAACACTAGTATACTTTGCCTATACTACATTTAATCATTCAGAGGGTTTTCTGTGCTCTGAGGTCACCCCAACCAACATTATTAGTCTGGATAATGCACTTTTGTTTCTTGCATAATTCATTTTCTTATTGCACTAATATATTTAAGTTCCACTGGGTCTTCCCATCTTATATGTTCATTCCTACCTTCAGCAACATGCATATAGAAGAGAATACAGATGGTGTGGATTAGTGTGGAGTTGGGATTTTGTTGACCAATGTGGTTGTTGTTGTTGTTGTTGTGTTTGCCATGGAGTCGGCCCCGACTCATAGCGACCCCTCCTTGGGTTTCCAAGGCAGTATCACTACAGAAGTAGGATTGCCCAACCTTCCTTCCGAGGAGTGGCTGGTGGGTTTGAACCGCCAGCCTTCTGGTGAGCAGTCAAGTGCCTTAGGCACTATGCTACCAGAGCTCCTCGACCGATGTGGTAGGAGGGTAAAAAGATGAGAGTATGATGCAGGTTTGAGGGGTTAAGTGATACACCATAGAATTCTAACTGGAAAGGAGAGGGTGTGACTAGAGGTTGAGTGATCATGAAGGAAGAGTCACAGGTATGGAGATCATGCAAGGTGGGAGAGCAGGTACAGTGGGAGCAGAGATTTGAGATCTGGGAGGTTAGAAGGTTGACAGAGAGTAGAAATCCAAAACTGTGCTTACAGGGTGGGTGGGTTGGGAAAATAAAGTCTTCCCACTATTTGTATCTGCATACAAGTATTAGGTAACACTAACTTCATAGTGGGAGCTCTGGTGGCGTAGTACCTAAGACATTTGACTGCTAACCAGAAGGCTGGCAGTTCAAACCCACCAGCCACTCTTCAGAAGGAAGATGGGGCAGTCTACTTCCATAGAGATACTCCCTTGGAAACCCAAGGAGAGGTCACTATGAGTCAAAATCGACTTGATGGCCGTAAGTTTGGTTTTTTTGGTTTTTAACTTCATGTTGTTGTTGTTGTTGTTGTTTGCCGTCCAGTCGGCCCGGACTCATAGCGACCCCTCCTTGGGTTTCCGAGGCAGTATCACTATGGAAGTAGGATTGCCCAACCTTCCTTCCGAGGAGTTTAACTTCATAGTACTGGTAATTAAAATTAATCCAGAATGATTGTTCATTTATCAGAGAAGGAGGGGTCACTAATGCACATGTCTGTATGAATATAGGTGCCTATCTCTGTGATTTTTTTTTCACACACTCAATATATTTGCTCAATACATGAACACTATGGGTATAGACAGTAGACAGGTTCTGAAATGCCATGTCAGGTCCCCTCAAGCACCTGAACTAGTTCCTCCTTTAGTGGCCAACATTGACAAGGCCCATCTCCTGAATACCTGACCTTTTTGTTCTACTTCCTCTTTCCTTCTGATTTTTATTTTTATTTTTATTATACAGGTCTCAGATTGACCCGGGAGTTCCTAAAGAGAAGACCTTTCAAAAGAAGCATACTGACTTTTTGCCTAAAACTTCCCTCCTGGGTAGACGTGTGATGAACATTCTACAGACTGAGAAATACTTGAAAAAGATCCACTTCCTCTATCTCAATGTGGCTCCCAGCCGGTACTTCAGGTAACAGCTTATGTCCAGACCCCTCCTTCTGATGTCTTCCCACTCTATCTTCTTCCTCCTCTTCGTCTCGCCCCTGCTCCTCTCCCCTCTCCTTCCTCCCTATACTTCTTTTCTCCTGTTTCTCATTTCCTTCCTCCTCCTCCTCCTCTGCACCATCTTTGCTCCCCTTTTTCTCTCAGCTTTTTGTTTTAGTTATCCTTCTCTCAACTTTTGCTTTGTCATCTTTATCCTATTCTAGAATGTACAAATATTTGGTCATAGCCTCAAAAGGGAACTTAATGATGACCTTCTCCAGCTCCAGTGCAAGAAGCAAGTCTTTGTTTAAATCTTTACAGTATAATTCTTGAGACTAAGCCAAAATCTGTTTGTTTGTTTTTAAACTTCAACTTCCTGGTCCTATTTTTATCTTCTCAGACTATAAAACCACGTGTCCTCCTCCTTCACATAACTCTAGAGGCATTCATTCACTTTTCCTCCATTGGATCCAAATCTTACCTATTTTATAAGCCCCATTCAATCCCATCTCTTCCCAGCAAGAATAGCTACCATTAATCAAGCATATACCAAATATTGTGCTAATAATATGCACTTGCCATGTGTTACCTCATTTAATCCACACCTATCCGGTAGGTACTACTATTATTCCCACATGTGAGATGAGTCTACCAGTGCATAGAAAGGTTAAGTAACTTGTCCAAATCCACATAGTAAGTGGCAGGACCAGGATTTTAACCTAACACATTACTGTTTAAAGCAAAAGTCCAAGCTCTTAAACAGTATCTGATATACTCTGCCACAGAGCCTTATTTCCTGCATGCACTAATCTCTTTCTCCTGAATTTAGCTAGCTCTGGTAGCATAGTGCCTAAGGCACTTGACTGCTAACCAGAAGGCTAGCGGTTCAAATCCACCAGCCACTCCTCGGAAGGAAAGTTAGGCAATCTACTTCCATAGTGATACTGCCTCAGCAACCCAAGGAAGGGTCACTATGAGTCGGGTCAACTCGACAGCAGACTTGACAGCACATAACAACAACAATTACTGGTAGCATAGTGCCTAACGCATTTGACTGCTAACCAGAAGGCTGGGGGTTCAAACCCATCAGCTACTCCTCGGAAGAAAGGTTGGGCAGTCTACTTCTGTAGTGATACTGCCTCGGAAACCCAAGGAGGGGTTGCTATGAGTCAGATCTGACTTGATGGCAGTGGGTTGGAATTAGTTATTTACTGACTAGTTCATTTAACAAACATTTGTTGAGAGCATTGTGCCAGTGATGAAGCAATTGTGTCTTGGCTTTCTACTCTTCTCTCTCTGCTGTGTGATGTTAGGGCTAGGACTCTGGAAACTACATTGCTCCTTCTATAGCTAGCCTCTTAGGTTTGATTAATAGAGGGACTAGAAGAAGACAGGGCAGCAGGATAAGAGGAGAAATGACTTGCTCCTTCCTGTTTTCCTCCCTGAAAGCGTTGCCTCAGCAATAGTCCTTCACCCTGGTAGTAGCAGGTCAGCCTCTTCACGACCCTGCGAGGTACTGATACCAGTTGGGTGGCACCCACCCTTCAGAGTGATGAGACCCAGCTCTGTAAGGCCCCTCCTACAAACTCTTTAGGTATTAGTAACAGCCAGGCAGCAGCCCCTCCATAGAAATATGAGTGCCATCTCTGTAAGGCCCTCCTCCAAACTCACAGATTCTGATAACCCAAACCTCTTCCCTTTGTTGCTCCAGGTCTAGGGCTAGTATCTGTTCCCTGAATTATTATTTCTGTGTTATCTTAGTATTCTGTTTTTGCTTTTTCATTTCTCTGATACCTTTTTAAAAATCTTTTCCCTCTATTAAATTTATTTTTGGTGAAATGCCTAGGATGTTTTCTGTTTTCCTAACTGGACCCTAATTGACACGGTACTTAGTCTTAGGAAACAAATCTTCAAATACGGGATTCTGATATTGTTGGTTGTGTTTTTAGCCTTGAACAGTGCTGTGCTCTTGCTAATGTAATACACAACATGTGGTGGCATCACAATGAATTAAAATATCACATGTGACTGAATCTGATGAAGGTTCCTACTGAGGTCCAGGGGCTGCTGCAGTTGACCGACGTGGTAGTAATGATAGTAATGGTAGTGATGTGGGGTAGAATGGCCACTAACCGCAATGGAGAGCTTTCTGTAGAAAGAAAATGACAGGCTTAGAGCTTTGCACTGTTAGCTCAGTCATAATCAGAGAAGCAGCACAGTCAAAGATAACTGGACACATAAAAAGAGAAGAAACCAAGAACAAGAGAACAAAAAAGGATTACAGGGCCAAGATCTGTCAAAGAAGGACACCCAGTGAAGTGAGTTTAGCATTTGGTGCTGATTTTCCCCAAACAAAACCCAAAACCAAACCCACTGCTACCAAGTCAATTCTGACTCATCGTGACCCTGTAGGACTATATAGTCTACCACCCTATAGTAGGACTGTCCCACAGGGTTTCCAAAGCTGTAAATCTTTATGGAAGCAGAGTACCTCATCTTTATCCCATGAAGTGGCTGATAGGTTCAAACAGTCACCCTTTTGGTTAGCAACTGAATGCTTCAACCACTGAGACACCAGAACGCCTTTCCCCAAACAAAACCAAAAACTAAACCAAACTCACTACCATTGAGGTGATTGTGACTTATCATGACCACACTGGATTTCCAATACGGTAATCTTTTTTTTTTTTTTTTAATTTCCTTTATAAATATATAAAAAGTATAGAATTAAGGACAGCATAGATATTTTAAAAATTAGGTAAACAAACAAACAAAATACCATAGACAGGTCTGTAAATCTTTAAGGAAGTAGATTGTCTTATCTTCCTCCCATAAGCAGCTGCTGAGTTTGAACTGCCCACTGTCACCAGAGGTCCTTTCCCCAAACAAAGGCACCTGTCAGTTCCATTAGAAGCAGCTGTGTGTCAAGTTTACTGTACAGGTAGTATTTTATTTATAACATATTGGAGTTACAATTATTCACACTTAGGATTATCTGGTTTTTGGTACATCTTATCATTAGTAAACAGGGGAGGAAGACTGGGCAATCCGCTTCCATAAACGTTTGTTACCTTGGAAACCCAAAGGGGGTCGCTGTGAGTCGGAATCGACTCAATGCCAGTGAGTTTGGTTTTTGATTTTAACATTGTAATATATACTACACACATTGTTGCAGCCATAATTTGTTGATGTTATCATTTTTAGAGGAGCTTTGCTGGTGCAGTGGTTAATGCATTTGGCTGCTAACCAAAAGGTATAATTCAAACCCCCAGCCACTCTGCAGGAGAAAGATGAGGCAGCCTCCTTCCATAAAGATCTACTCTGTCTTATAGGGCTGCTATAAGTCAGAATCAACTCATTGGTGAGTGGGTTTGGGTTTTTTCTTTCCCCCCAACTAGGAGTTTTTGCTTTTTTTTTAAATTATGATTTGGGTGAAAGTTTGCAGAGCAAATTCATCTTCCATTAAACAGTTCATACACATTTTGTTTTGTGACATTGATTGCAACCCTCACAATTTAATAGCTCTCTTCCCACTTCCTCCCTGTGTCCTTTCCTATGCATTCCTGTCCTCTGAGCTGTCTCCCTGTGCAAATGCTGCCCTTCTTATCTCCCATGGTTCATTGTTCTAAGGAGTGTACCTACCTGGTATAACTGTTCACCCCATAGGCCTGTCCCCTGGAAGCCATGGGACTGAGTTGAAATTCTAGGCCTGAAGAGTGACCAGGGACCATAGTCTCAGGGATTTCCTTGGTCTCTATCAAACCAGTAAGCCTGGTCTTTTTGTGAAGTGGGTTTGGTTTTTGTATTATATTCAGATGTTCAAAGATTGGATTTATAAAGATAGTGATGTTGTTTTTGTTATTTGCCATTGTGTTGGACCCGACTCATAGTGACCCCTCCTTGGGTTTCCGAGGCAATATCACTACAGAAGTAGATTGCCCAACCTTCCTTCCAAAGAGTGGCTGATAATAAAAAATGCAATAATAATGAAAACTAACTAACTAAATAAATACAGATATTTGACTTATATCAGAACCATCTTTCAACTGAGTCGTTGGAATACAACTCCATGGTAAGTCAAGGACTATTTGTACCTGCAGAGTCACAGAACTAAGGGAGCACAAGTTGCAGTTCTGGGCCCACATCAAGAAGGGAGGTATAATTCCAGGTCACCTTTACTCCTAAATTGTAACCATTCAAGGTCTGTTCTGGTTACCTGGTGCTGCTCTGACAGGAAATATACCACAAATGGGATGGCCTCAACAAACAGGAGTTTATTCTTACAATTTGGAGGCTTTAAGTCCAAGTTCAAAGTGCCAGGCTCTAGGGGCTGGGTGAAAGCCCCTCAACCTTGGGGTCCAGCTCTGCCTCCTGCTCCCGGCCCACTGGAGCTAAAGGCATTTCTTCACTCAGACAGCTGCTGGCTGCTGAGGCTGAGAAGCCCCAGGGTTGACAAGGAAAAAGGCACAGTCCCCATGTTACCAAACCACACGGCAGGCCATTAACTTAAGTCCATTGTAAGTCCCAAGGTCGACAAAGCATAGCAGGCTGCTGAGCAAAGACACGGCTACATGCAGGATCCAAGTGTGCCATAGGCTAGAGACCATTCCCAAGGCTTCTCCTTATATACAGGAAGCAGACCACATTCCCAAAGGCAGCTACTCAGCTGCTTGTGGTAGATCCTACCATGGAGCTGATTGCCAGTCTCATCATGGGAATAACTACCACCAGCTGCCCAGCCACTCAACCAGGCCCAGCCAAGTTGACACACAAACATAACTACCACAATGTCTCAACCCAATGCCTGGGGATTTAATTCCTGTGCTCCCTGATGTCTTCATTCAGATGCTCTTCATATTTTAGAGTAATTTTGTCCAATTTTTCTAGTTGTCCTCAAGTGGGAATTGGTCCAGATTTCTAGAGCACCATCACCAGAAGTAGGAGCTCTGGTAGCATAGTGCCTAAGGCACTTGACTGCTAACCAGAAGGCTGATGGTTCAAACCCACCAGCCACTCCTCGGAAGGAAGATGGGGCAATCTACTTCCGCAGTGATACTGCCTCAGAAACCCAAGGAGGGGTCGCTATGAGTCGGGTCTGACTCGAGGGCACATAACAACAACAACAACAATCACCAGAAGTGGAACCCTGTCATCTATTGTTTGATTTGTTTGTGTATTTCTTTACTTTGCCATGAGTTTGAATTGATCAATTTTTTCTAGTATTGTTCTAGATTTTGATTGATACTTAGGAAGGAATTAATTCCCTCACCTCCTTAGAGTCTTCGCTCAATCATCATCTTCCCACACTTACCACCCTATTTAAGATGGAAACATCCTCCTCCCTTGGCACTGCAATCTCCCTTTTCCTGCACTTCCCCTTTCCCAGCTATCATTGTTTAGCATCTTTCTCCTCCAGTGGAATGAGAGTTCTATTGGGGCAGAGATTTTTGTTTCTTTTGTTTAGTGATGTATTCTCAGGCTTTAGAACTGTCTGACATAGAATGGAAACTTAGTAATATATTTTTTGAATGAAAGAATGAATTACCAGAAGGAAGAACAGATTTGGAGAGGGTAGATGATGAAGTCAGTATAGAGCATGCTGTGTATTGTGTGCATGCAAGACATAGAGTTGGAGATGTTTTGGAAGCAGCTCAAAATTTAGGTCTAGGACTCGGGAAGAAGATCTTGGCTTGCCCCATTTACTCTCTAAAAAAAAAAAAAAAAAAAAACCTAAACTCAGTCATCAAACCAAAACCAAACCAAACTCATTGAGTCAGATTTGACATATATCGACCCCTCCTTGGGTTTCCAAAACAGTATCACTATGCAAGTAGATTCCCCAACCTTCCTTCCGAGGAGTGGCTGGTGGGCTTGAACCACCAGCCTTCTGGTTAGCAGTCAAATGCCTTAGGCACTACGCCACCAGAGCTCCCCACTGTCATTAAGTCATTGCTTAATACTCCAATTGACTCCAAGCCCTTTGAGGGCAAGAACTATGTCCTCACCTCTAATCATTGGATAGAGGGATGGTTTCACTAAGCTCCATGAAGTCAAGGCCTGGGTTTTTCTTATTCACTGTTGTACCCCAGTGCCCGACAGTGCTTGTCCTTAATAAATCTTTGTGGAATGAATGAATAGCCCCTAAACGAACAGTGGCCATTAAGAATGAGGAGGGTGCTCCCTAACTCCTAGCCCTGCCCAGAAAGAGCAACTTCCATTAGGAAGGTCCTAGGGAAAGGATTATACACTGAGGAGAGAGCCTGGGCTGCTATTCTGTATGACTCAGGGGTTAAGAGCGGGACTTTGAGTCAGGTAGATTTGGTTTGAAATCTTACATTCTTCCTTTAACTGCATTATAACTTTGTTTCAGTTTTCTCATTTGTAATTTGGGAATAATAGTACTTAAGAGGAGTATCTGAGTGGTATAAATGATTAATTTGCTTGCCTGCTAACTGAAAGGTTGGTGGTTCAAGCCCACCCAGAGACACCCTGGAAGAAAGACCTGGTGATTTACTTCCAAAAAATGAGCCGTTGAAAACTTTATGAAGTACAGTTCTACTTGGACACACGTGAGGTCTCCATGAGTCATTACTGACTTCATGGCAAGTGGTTTTGGTATCTGAGATCTAGTGACCCTCGTAGAAAGAAGCAAGTGTACTCTGATATCTGTCTCAATGCTTTTAATTTATTTGCTTAATAATAGTGTTCTAGAAATTTGAGAGGAGGTAGGGCCATTTTATCTCTTAGACTTTATAGGACATACAGCTTTTATAAGGTTTATAAGTATATTTAATGCTAAATATTATTGGCTTCAAATTATGAAAAGGAAATTGCAAACCCAAAAGTAATAAGTGTTTTATTAAAAAGTATTAAGTGTTCATTATGCTAACTAGTGTACTGCAACTAGATACAACAATTAATAGAGTGATCTATAAATTGTGTTTAATGTGAGATGTACATGCAAGCCCAAGACCTATTAGAATTTTAAAATGTCTCTGGAGGTACTTGTCTGGCTCATCAGTTTACAGTTTTACTCTTCATTTGTTTTTTTCTTGTCTTCCAGCCTCTTCCTTGATTTTTCCCAATTTACTCCAATAGCATCTGCATGTTCTTTCAGTACATAGGGATATACTTCTTTTTTCTTTTTATCATTTCTAAAATGACATTTTTTTTCACATTTCTGTTTCTCAGAAATTGTGATGCATGTTATAAATTGATGGAGTATCATATTGACAATATTTTTTTCTTAGTGTTTCATATAATAATGATGCACCTTATAATTGATAACATCTTAGATTTGATGGGATATAATATATGTGGATCTGAAGATATGAGCTGCTTAGAACAGGCTAGGTGCTCATTATTATTATTATTCTATTCCCTTTTATCTTTGGCTTAAATTTTTTCTTAATATTTATTCCATATTTCTAGTTTGGAAATCGTTTTGCTTCTTTTCCCTACCTCCTACTTTCTTTTGTCTTCCTACCTACCTCCTTTTTCATCTCCCCACCCTTCTCTTGTTCCTTCCTAGAGTCTGCACAGGTTCCCAGGGCTCCCACTGATCAGAGTTCTTTTTCATAGGCCTTACAACCTGAAGGTCGTGCCGCCAAACAAAGTGAACCCTGAGCACTACATCTTCTCTCCCTTTGGGATCCTGCATATACATCCTGTGGAGGGGAGTGACACAATGACACTGGGTACCTGGCACCGCCACTCTGTTCTCTGGCAACAGCTACAGTTCATTCCATTCTTTAAGAATTGCCTCGTACGCAAAGCATTGACCTGGTAAGTGATGATGGGTATGGAATTTGGGAGGATGCGAGGAGAGGAACAGCATGTCATCACTGACCTCTCCTTTGTAGTTGGAAGAAGAATGCGAAGTTGCAGGGGCTACATCAGTGTCGGATTCTTCTAGGGAATAATCTGCTCATGGCCGTACCCCACTTTGGAGTGGGGCTGCTCCACATTAGCAGGTGAGTGAATAAAACTACAACCTCAAAAGATTTTTTAAAATCATTATCACAAAAGGTATGACGTTCTTTGTAGAAAACTTGGGAAATAACAAAGAAAACAACCCTTTAATCACACCACCCCACTATGAGCATTTTGTTGAACATCATTCAGTCTTTTCTCTATCACATATACAAAATGCGATCATATCTTGCATATTGTTTAATAACCGGTCTTTCTCTCTGAATAATGTTTAGTGGACATTTCTCCACGCCATTACATATTCTGTATCAACTTGCTGCTGATCACACAATTATGAAGTATCAACTCTGGAGGTCTAATTCAGTTATTTGCCTCTAAATTGTCTGCTCTTACCAATGTATTGCTTGGGTTCCTCTTGGTGAAAAGATTAATTATTCCTATTTGCAGTACTTCTTTTCTTTCCCTATACCGCTCCTCAGCCAGTTCAGTTATCTTCTCTGATAGGCGTTGCAAACTTAAATGGCTACAGGACCCAAGCAGGAGGTATTGAAGAATGCACAGGGTTAAGTGCAAGACTTTAAGAAGGAGGGGACTGTAATCTGGACATTGCATCTACAAAGAATAGTAACTACTCAGTTCCAAATGAACTGAGTTGCTTCCTGCAAACAAGATAGGACCAGTGTGGTCAGCTACCTTATTTCTCAGGATTTCCTGGAAATGCACATTTTGTTGGGAAATTTCTTAATTTTAACTAGTTGACTCAATTTTTTATTAACATACTGTGCTAAGCAACTATTTGTGGTACATATGAAAAACTTTTTGGTCTGAATTTGGCCCATGGGCTACCAATTTACAACACCTCTGCCCTAGGCTATTTCTGCCTATAGTCTAGCCTAATCATCATGGCTTAATGAAAAGCCTAAGAATTTGGAGGCTGGACAGAACTGAATTAGATCCTGAATATTAGCAAGGGATTTTACTCTTTGAGCCTCAGTTTCCTGGTCTATAAACTTTTAGAGAGAAAGATTTCTACACAGCTATAGTGATAATTAAATGGGATTGGGAATATAAAATGGCATGGTCAGTGCCTCAGTAGACATTGAATAAATGGCACCTGTTATGATCATCCTCTGCTTATTGGGAGTTTTTCTTCTTTTTCAAGGATGTTTAGAGATGTGGAGTTCTCTGGGGAAAAGTGGATAGGGGAATGGCTTCCTCAGGGTGATGTTCAGCTTATAGAGAAGTTGCAAGCTCATTACCTTTGATCCTAAGACTCACCTGTCCATCTAGATTTTTAAGGCCTGCAGCTTCTTCTACTCCAAGGAAGAAGCCTTAGCAATCTCTCCTCCAAGTCACAACTTTGAGACCTATATGATCTCTCTCCTGGCCGAAGAGTCACTCAGTGTCATCATTTGCACATGCTCCAAGCCTTTTCAAAGAATTACCTAGCCAGCAATTTCCTGGGCTTTAACTCTTCCAAAGAAGTCACGAGGAAATCTATCACTGTGGGTCACTGGGAATGTTACAGTCTTTACAAGGTGTCCAAGGAAGGAGGGCTGGGTTGCTGTTCTGACTAGCTTAGCCCTTGATTCTAGGCTTCTGCAGGAGCTGCATTCTGTGTCCTGGCTTCCCCAGGAGCCAGATCAGACCTATGAGCTGCGGGAGCTACAGCGGGCTCTAGCCAAGGAGAACCACAAGGCTCTACCTCTGCTCCGCCGCTGCCTCCGCCTCTGCACAGCCATTCTTCAGTTGGTAAGAGGCTCCAATTCATTGTGAACCTTCTCTCCAAGCTGAGCTCCCTAGAGTTGCAGTCTCTTCCAAGCTTAAGCCCCTCCTGGGATTCTCTGTGTGGCCCATACTCTGCAGGTGACTCAGAGCCATTGTCCTGCCCAGCAGCAGCAGTCTCTGTTCTAGGGTACATAGGTCAATAACAAGTGGGCAGAGGCTTGGGCTCAATCTTTCCCTAAGGTTTGGTCCTAACCTAAGAGCAGGGAGGAGAAGAAACGTAATGACATCTGTTTTGTCAGTTGTCAGTGCCAGGAGCATGAAGGGATTTGAATGAGGAAACCTTGATTTTTTTCCTGCTTCTGGGTTTATCCTTGAACCAATCTTGAACTTTGATAGGTATAAAATGCAGAGTGGGGTTTCTAATGTATGTTGTTGTTGTTATGTGCCGTCAAGTCGTACCCAACTCATAGTGACCCCTCCTTGGGTTTCTGAGGCAGTATCACTACGGAAGTAGATTGCCCCATCTTCCTTTCGAGGAGTGGCTGGTGGGTTTGAACCGCCAGCCTTCTGGTTAGCAGTCAAGTGCCTTAGCCACTATGCTACCAGAGCTCCCATGTATAGTCACTAAAAGTCCTGCAGTTTGTGTCCTGTGTTTTGAATGTACCACAGTAGCTGGGACAAGCATATAATTCTGAGGTCCTTCCTAATTTATGCCTACTTTGCATCTATGGTGCGTGCTGCCTGTCTAGGACTACTCTGAGAGGCCTTGCTATATACTTGACTCTTGCCTTGGCCATAAGCATATCTATGGAAAATAGCACCTATGGCAAGCACTGAAATTCCACCCCTGACCAAACATCTGACACCCATCTTTTTTTTTTTTTTTTTAATTGTGATTTGGGTGAAAATTTACAGAACAAATTCACTTTCCATACAGCAGTTCACATACACTTTGTCTCATGACATTGACCATAATTTACCACTTCCTCCCGATAGTTACCTCTTCCATGTGTTCATCCCTCCACGCACTCTTGCCCCCTGAGCTGTCTCCCTATGCATAAACAGTCCTTCTTTCTCCCATGATTGTTCTCTCCAAAGAGTGTATGTACCTCGGGTAAATGTTCAACTCATATGCATGTCTTTGTTTGGCTGGAAGCCACAGGTGTGGGTTCAATTCCAGACCTGAAGGGCAGCTATGGGACATAATCTCAGTGGTTCCACCAGTGTCTATCGGACCAGCAAACCTGGTCCCCCCCCCCTTTTTTTTTCTCCAAATGATTTTGAGTTTTGTTCCACATTGTTCTCCCTCTCTATCCAGTATCTCCTACATAGGTCCCCTTCCAAGTGGATGACAGTGGTAGCTAGGCACCATCTAGTTCTGGTCTCATAGTTGTAGGCTGCAGATTGGCTGCAGATCTGATGGTGTACCAGTCACTAGGGCTAATTGTTTCCATGAATTTTTGGTTTTCTTCATTCTTCTTTGCTCTGGACAAGGAGAGATCCATCGTTGCATCTAGATGGCAGCTGGCAAGCTTTTAAGATCCCAGTTGCTACTTGCCAAAGTAGGAGGTGGAGCAATGTTTTGTGTAGTATGTTATGCCAATTGAGCTTGATGTTCCCTGTGACTATGGTCCTGAGCCCACAGGTTCAACTACTCGGTCCCGCTGGGTAGCTGGCTGTGACCAACCAGTGACTACAACCTTGCCCCTTGTCAGCTCTACTATACACCTGGAAATTCAGATCATACACATAAACTTATAGGACCATTGACACCCATCTTTTTCATAACTTTACCATTATATCAGCTCAAAAATATAAGTCAAGCTTGTTAATCTTTTACTTGACACGTTATGGCACTATTTGAAAATTACAACTGAATCTTCCTTGATGAAAATTGGTCTGTTACATGCTTAGAATCTTTTTTTTTTTTTTTTTTCCCAGTTTCTTCTCTTTCTACACTCAGCAGAGCAATGCTAGATCTTCCAGGCAGAGGCAATTCAAAAGCATAGGGTGTGGGAGTCTTAACACCAAAACCACTTCCCAGGGAACAGCACACTTTGGATAGGGCCATGCCTGTGGCCACCAGTGCACACACCTGGCCCACCCAGTAGTCAACCTCAACCCAGAAAGAACAGAATTTTGGAATCAGACTTGGTGGGCTGGAGCAAAACACAAAGAGAAGGGGTAACAGCCAGGCAGGCTGATCAGAAAGAATGCCAGGAGCCTCTAAAGAAGTGAGGAGTGGGAAGCAAAATGCCATATATTTAGCTATCCTCCTTAGGTGTTGTTTCAAATCTCTTTGGGTCATCGAATATAACCACACTAAAACTAATGCCCACACATACAATAGGGCTGTTGTTGTTGTTGTTAAGTGCCGTCGAGTCGTTTCCGACTCATAGCGACCACATGCACAGCAGAAC